TAGTTTCTTTTTTTTTTTTTCCAGATATTGGCATTTCTATCTGCAGCAGAAAGTTCCAGTAATCGGAAATGTTACAAGCTATTCTGCTGAAACTAGAGAAAGTTATCTTACAGTGACAGAGGGAACTGTCTGACTGTAAATAGTTCCCTAGTGTCTAAACTTGCAGCTTGAGAAAAATTGAATTTGACTTGAGCTCTCAAAAAACTGTAAAGATACCTGCCATTTTCCTTCCCAATCAGACTGAGCTCAAATTCAGGTAAAAGAATTGGAGATTATTATTTCCATAACCTGGTTCTCTCTTCCAGCTTTCCAAAAATGAGCGAGTAGAAAATCTCTGAAGAAAAGTGAAGAAACAAATAAGCACTTGAAAGAGGATTTTAGGAGCTGTCAAATTTACTACTAATTGCTATGGCTAATCCAGATCTTCAGAGAAGCTTCAGTTATGGTCTTTTTTGGTAGACCTACAAATTCTGTAACAAATTCTGTAACCGTGAAGGAGTTTACAGTATTCAATTAGAATATATCTATTTTTTTGAAATTGGTGTCATGTTCTATTGGACATATATGAAATTTATGTTAGATCTTAGACAAGCTCTTGTATAGGAGTAGTTTGACCCCAAATCTTTAGACTTGCTCCTCAGACTCCTGAAGTTTGGCTAAATAATCGTTCCTTCCAAGTCAATAGTTTTGATAACCAGTCTACTTGTCTTCTACTTTTATTTGAGGTACCAACTGGAACAGAAATTTTATAACTTTCATCATAACATGAGTTTTGTCAAATATTCATCTCTCCTGATAGCAGTTTCACTCCAATTTAATATTGGTATTAGGAGATCAGTTTATTAAGTTTCCAGTTTGGCATGAAGCAAATCAATTAATTGAAACTTAAATTATTTAACACTTTTATTTAAATACGTTTTTCCAAATAGAGAGCTCTCAAATTACTACTAAGTAGTTCATCATAAATACTCACATTTTCAAGCTTGTGAACTAATTTTCAATCTTGCTTCACTTTTGTGCAAATATACAGAAAGTGTGGTACTAACCAAAAATTAATGCTCTATCCCAAGAGCTGAAAGCAGGCAGAAACCTGGATAACTCTGATGATGTGAGAAAAAAACTGATACTCTTCTTTCTTGAAAATTTTGTGTTGTACGTACAAAGATGATGCATGATTGTGTGCATGTATATATTGTTCATTATACAATCTATATGTGACTATTTTCTTACTAAAGGAACAAATACAGTTATAGATCGTTGGTGACCTCTTTTGTTAGTGTGAGCCTCCACCTGGACGTTTTTTACTATGTAGCTGTATTACTGCACTGTAATCCTAAAAGTATGGAAAGGCATACCTAGGGCAGATTGCTATTTACAGCTGTGCAGTCTTCTGATGGGCTTTCAGAACTCTGTCAGTCATTTTGAAGAGTGTTAAAGTAAATATAACCCACATAGCAAGTTTGGTAATGAATAGTTGCAGGAAGAGAGGAAGTGTTATGACTCTTCCATGCACAATGAAATCTCCATTGGCTGATAGGATGTGCAGCTAAACCCTCAGAAAGGTAGGGGTAGAGGTAGGCTAGCATCTTTGTTAAAAAAAAAAAAAAAAAGAAAAGAAAAACAGAAACACAGCAAAAAACTCTTTAATAAATGATGTCTTATTCCTCTTGAAATACACGTGCTTTGGAGACTGCTGATAGCAAAGGCAGGCATATATATACCTAAAATGTTTCTTCGATATTCTACATAGATGTGCATTTGTCAGAGGGCTTAGTTTAGGTATATTGTTAAATATGACAAGCTCAAACATCACATATTACAGGAGAATATTATTGCATTCAAAAACCTGAGGCTTGGGATATTCAAGGGAGTTTTGATATATGTTAAACATCGAATGACACCTTGTTTTTGGATTGTGAAAAGTTTTCCTAATTGTGTTTCGGGCGACTGGAAAGCATATAATTCAGAATATGATTAAACAGTTTCAAATTTTCTTCAGGAGTGACAATTTCTGTTTGCGTTAAGGTATTCATCTATTTTATCTTTTCAGTGGCAGTCTTGTTTCCATTTTATTTATTATTTGGAGTTGCTACACAACTTTCTTTAATATAGAATGCTGATTTCTATTTCACTTCACGCTTGCTCTCAGAATTAGTAGGAGAGATGAATTCTTGGAAACTGGGACAAGATGTATGTGAAAGCAGTTGCTCAAAGCTCAGGATGTATCAGAATCAAAATGCAGTGAACATATGTTGAAATCCGGACTCGTGGGCAGGTGATTAAACAGTATCTTGCAGCAAACTTGTTTTAGTACAACTGAATTTCTGGCTTTGGTGTGAATCTGTATTTTTAGCATTTGTGACATTAAAAAGAAGTATTTATATTATTTCCATATTTGGCACATCACAGAATTAAGCTGTAAAAGGGTAAACATTATGGTGGCCAACATTAGGACAGGTCACTTAAAGAGGTTGTGGAATCTCCCGCTTTGGAGAGTGTTGGATCTAGGCTGGAGATTACTCTGAAGAACATGATCCAGTGTTGGCTTCAAAACAAGCTTTGCTCTGAGCAGGAGGAAGGACATGACCTCCTTCATCATTCTGTGATTCTAAACAGCACTGAGAAAATGGCATTAAGCATTATCTAATAACTAGGAAGAGGCTGCAGATTGCATTCAATGTTTTCCTAAAAAAAGCAACAGAAGCAGCATTTTTAGATTTCATCCTTACTTGGGTCTTTTTGGATTACATATCATGTGAGTTTGAAAGTGAATGGCACTGACTAATGCGTACTGCTTATATATCTTTGTGGGTAAAAAAAAAAAATAGCTGGTGCAGTTTTTGCAAAGGATGAACCACCTTGAAGCCTGAAGTCTGTGTAAAATAATCTAAAATGTTAGCTAAAATCACTGAAGTCGATTGAATAGTTCCCAGGAACTTCACTCAGTTATAGATTTTGTCCTTAATTATAATTTAATCTAATGAACTAATTTAGAATAATAACTGAATTTAATAAAACCTTTCTATTTTGCAATACGACATAATGTATGGAAAAATAGCTAGATGTCTAAATTACATGCTGTCTCTCTATTAAAAACTGATACCCCTTCATTACCCTTTCTTCCCAAAAACTGACTCAGAAGTAGATAGGTGTGAGCTCACATTTGGAAGTTCAATTTACAGACAAAACATTTAAAGAGAGGGCTTTTCATATTGTTCTCATCTGCTTTCAGAATCAGTTATAAGAAAATCAAGTGGAGGTTTTCCTTTTCTGTTTTGGCACTGTAAAAATATTAGTGCAGAAAAGTCAAGCAGCAGAACGAGATTGTCTGGATTGTGAACTGAGAAGTGCTAAAGGTTTGGGTTGTGCGTGTGTGTGTTTTTCCAACCGCTTTTAATTAAGTAAGATTTTTCAAAGCATCTAAGAGAGAGTTATTTACACACTTCTGCCCAGTCACTCTGTTATTCCTGGGCCATAAAGATCTCTCTTAGTCCTATGCAGGTCACAATATTTGATGCAACATAAGTTGGGATGGTGCTGCTGTCTCGGCTTGCTGAAAGCTGATGCTGATTGAATCAATACCAGTAATACAAGAAAAAGGACAAGAGCCAAGGAATGAAAGGAAATGTGTTCCTCTTTTCTTCCCAGTGGAGGCCTATTTTGACCATCTGAAGTGGCAATACAGTCGAGTAGCTTTCTTCAGATACGATCTAGGGATCAGCACATCTACCAAGTCAGTCAATTTTTTATACTGCACTTAATTATAGTAGTATTGCTGGTAATTTATCTCCATGGATGTGTTAGCATTTGCTGCTTGAGAATGTCTCAGCTGTGAGGCGAGACATCCCTGGGAAGATGAGCCTCAGCCTCCTGCATGTGAGCTCAGGTGTATAGGAAGCAAGGAGGAGAAAATGAAAAGAAAAGCAGCATCTTGAATTGAAAAGGGAGCCTTGTAAGCTGGGCTGAGAGTTTGCCTTATCTGCTAGGAACAGGATTTGGGTTCACAGGGCTGTCAGTGCTTTTGCTTAGATTTATTTTTATCAAGTGGCACAAAAGCTTGATTTTTTTATTGATTCATGGTAAGCTGAAATGAGGGGGTTTAATACTCAGACACTCTGATGTGGCCTTTTCTTAGTTTTGGCACTAATACATTTGTCTACCTTAATAGGAAACTAAAATTCAAAACAAATAAAATCATGTCTTTAAATTTTGGAGTGATTCATTACTAAATTATTTTTTTATTCACTAGAGTGATGGTGATGATCTTAAGTCAAAGTTTTTTAAAAAATGACCATAAAATGTGTTAATATGTATTACCATTTTTAAGAAGCCCTGATCTTAAGTAAAGGAATAATTTCTATCCTGTCTCATTGCCAAGGCAATGGGTTGGTTCATGGGAGTGGATCAACTGGAGGGAAATACTTCTAGTCAAAACCTAGGAAAAAATAAAGTGTTTTCTATTTCAGAATATTTATTTGGCAGATTTTTTCCCAGATATGATTTAGCAGAATTTTATTGGTGTCTCTAAAAACATTAAGCCCATTTCTGAGCGAATTGTCTGATATTCTAAAGGCTGTTGTGTAAATGCCTTCACATCAGCATTAGGCAGTGTGATAATTTGCATATTTGCATATTTATGTCAGGAAGACCTTAATTAGATGATGTATTAGAAATGCATGGCTGTGTAGCTTAACTATCTTGCTAACCAAAGGGAGACATTCCAACTCAATGAGAGAAGAGTGACCGTTTTAGAGAGAAACTTCAGTTGTTTTGGCAAACTAATTTGTGGTCTATTTTAAGATGTTTCACTGTGTACTTTTGCTTTACAACTTTATGAACAAATGAACTAAAATTACCTTTTTTCTTAGGCCTGGAAGTCTGTTGACTGGTGTTACTGGCTGATGACTTCAGTGTTCACAACATTACATTTCTTTTATGATAAGGATGTGGTTGAATATAAACACTGTATTTTCACTTCTTCCGTTTTGATTTTATTGTAGACGTTTCAGCAGTCCTCTCTACAGCAGAAAAGTAAAAAGAAGAGCAAAGGTAAAAATTAAATTTCTTTTCATGTATTGGTAGGAAAGGAATTGCCAGCCTTAATATTTATGGTATTGCAATATCTGAGGAACTAGAACTCCTAGAATTGTTAGCTCTGATCCAATGCTTAGTTCAGATCATCATGTTGAGAAGGTGTTAGTCCATTACTGATGTCTCCTGGTTTCCTAATGTTCCTCTATCTGCACATATCTGCTGTTGTCTTTTTTTTATGAATACTTAGGCTCTAGCTTCTTTGGGGCTGGGGCTGTTTTTTCCAACTGTGTGCATGTAATGCCTTACTGCAGCCCTTGCTCATTACCTAAGCTGTCAGGTAATTTATATCATAGTAAATTGTCCTCCTTTGATTTAAAAGTGCAAAGCCTTAGGAACTGTTTAGTTGCAAAAGGAGCTGCGAAGAGAGGCTTTTGAATACCTGTGAAGTAATAAATAGCTGTATTTAGCAGCCAAGTGTGAAAGTATATGAATTTATATGTGGTCTGCTTTAATCTGATGTGAAATATTATTTTGTTGAAAATGACAAATAGCTATTTTTCTTACTTTAAAATGTCTCGCCTTTCTTTTCTCTATAATGTCTTCTGCTTTCTGTGTTGCTTTTTTTTTTTTTGGTCTTATCCATAGAATATGAGCTCCGTGAGGTGCTGAACATTGCTTTTGTTTGTTTTAGTTTTTAAGTTATGGTGCCTTGCATAGACTTTGTGGTCAAAATAAAATGTTTGTAATAATTTATTCATGGCAAATTGAGGTTAAAATTTTTAACTAATTTTCTTAAGCAAATATATAGTGCTTTCTGGATAACTGTCTTGTTGATTTGATGGACAAATCAAATGCTTTCACATCAACTCATGATTTTCAGCTCCTATTCCTGGTAAAAGCAAAAGACGGATCTCATGTAAAGATCTTGGTCGAGGGGACTGTGAAGGCTGGCTTTGGAAAAAGAAAGATGCCAAGAGTTATTTCTCCCAGAAATGGAAAAAATACTGGTTTGTCCTGAAGGATACATCTCTATATTGGTATATCAATGAAGAGGTAAGCATCTGTGCACATTGTCTCAATAAATACCCTGTGCAGTGCTGTTGTCATGATTAAGTGGGAAGCCAGTGCTTTGAATGCTTATATATGAGAAGAACTGTATTCTCCCAAATAATCATACTGAAATTAATGTTAACTGCCTGACTAAATTAAGGTCCGGAGGTATTTGGTCCTTCAAATTCACCTTTTACTACAGGAGAAATAACACACTTTCCTGTGTCCTGCTCTTGCCATTTTAGAATAAATCTATCCTCAAACCCTTGAAAGGGAAAAAGTAGTTATTTAATCTTGTCATTCAAGCTTAGTCATGGGAGTGTAAACTTTAATGATGTGCTGCCTAGTGTTCCATGTTTATCTGTGCTAGTGAAATCACCAAAACCTCTGGCAGTTAAGGAAGATACTTTTATTTTCTCAGTTGTGTTCTCCTGTCGTTCCTCTTTGTAGCTTTCAGTATGATTTCGGTGCTTATATATGCTCCAGTGCTTAAGAGCGCTGGAGCAGCCCAACTGAATTGTGTACAGCTTAGATTCTGCAACATGTTCTGCATTAGTACACATTTATTTATATCAGCTTTAGCAAAAAAGCTTTTTGCCAGTGAGTTAGGAAACTTTAATTTTAAACCTTATTAGTCTCATTAGTAACTATACTGAGATAAAATCATTGCCAACATGTGGATGCACTCAGTCCTGGACTTGTTCTTTTACTCACTGCAAACCTTTGTACATAACCTTTTTAAAACATTGTGGTCCCCAACTATTCTCTGAGTAGACAGGAAGCAAGTTGTTCCATGAACAGAGTCACCGAAGCCTGTTTTCCCACAGACTCGTCCCATTCGTGCCTTGATTCCAGCTTCAGATCATCTGAATCCTAACTCCCTCCTCTCCATCCTGCCTCCTCAAGGTCTACTATGAGATCTTCATCAGGGCAGTAATTAATATCTACCTCTACAATGACTGGTCACCAGCTGTGGCCAAGGAGCATGTGGAACTGCTGAGTTGTGCCTTGCTTTCCTGTGGAGATGGCAGTGGTCTGAACACCTCTGTCTCCCCCCTGTCCCAAGTTTCCCTGAGATTTGCTGAGACTCAGTTATTTTTGAGACCTCAGCTCTCTCACCAAAGTGTCTGCAGTCACCAATTGATTTAAAGGTGGCAGGGGGAGCCTCTGTGGCAGATGGACAGACAAGCAAACAGTGCTCTTGCCAGAATTTTGTTTCCTTAGGCAACTATGCAAAAAAGAACTAGCAAGATTATTCTAAACAGTGTCCTTTCAGTTTTAAAATACTTGCTAATGCAGAACCTGTTACAACCTTGTACCTTCCACAAAACAACTCTAGTTCCAGTTTTATATGCTGATTTATGTCTTTTATTTATGTATTTTTAAGAAGACATACAGTCTCATGGACTGCATACGTAGCATAAATAACTATGGAGATTCTGAGAAAAAGATGTAATTCTGTGGAATTCCTTAACAAACATTTGTGCTTTCTGCAGCTTCACTTTCATGATCCTGTATTCATTTCTCATGCAAAGATATGAGCAGTTAAATAAGAGTCGGTGTTATTAATGTATTAGTGACTTAAAATAAATACTGCTTTCAAATTGTAAAAAGCCAAGGGAGATAGATTGAATATCTGATAAAATAAACTGTGCAAGTCTTTAGAGCAGAGGGGAGGAAGGTCAGATGTCTTCCCTCTTGAGTGTTAGAAAGAGACGAAAGTAGCTGAAGAGATATCATGCCTCTTAGCTGTGATACCATATAAAGATGGTAAACAGCAGACATTGAAATTGCTTTTTTCCCTGTTTCAGTGGCCTGCATTTCTCCTTACTAATTAGTCCATCTTACCCCAAAATTAACCAATTACAATAACTAATTGCCTGAATACGTTTGGTCATTTCGTATATTTTCAAATGCTGGTTCAGCTGTGAAATTGTTTGAGAAAACTGGATATTTAAAATTGTATTTCACACCAAGGAATCTATCTTACTACTTTGGCAAAAGTCCCAGTGACTTCTGTGGGAGGTTTGCCAGAGCAGAGCATACATTAGTATTCCTTATGTAAGATGCGGGCAAGTGAAAATATCTTTAAGTTTCCAGTGTGGTGTGTTGGGTTGTTTTTTTTTCTGACACCTTAACAACAATAATATCTAGAACTATCTTTACAGGATGAAAAAGCAGAAGGATTCATCAGTCTACCTGAATTTAAAATTGACAGAGCCAGTGAATGCCGCAAGAAATAGTAAGTATGCTCAAAAATAATGCAATGATAACCATAGGAAAAGTGGAACAAAGGACAAGGTTTTCCCTTAAAACAGTGACATAATGGACTTCGTTACAATGATCATTTGGTTGTATCACAAAATAAGCTTGTACAGAACAGGCAAATTCAGTGTGATTTCAATGTGCCATCTTTCCCAAAGAAGGTTTGTTTTACTTTATCATGATTCATAGTGCTTGACTAGAGCAAAATGAATTAAGAGCAAGAAGACTGCTTGTCTGCTTCTATCCCTTTGTTTTCCTTTCTATTTTGGGAGGTTTTGTTTGTTTGTGAGAGGTTGGAGTGTGTATGTGTGTGATACTTATAAGGTCAATAAAGAGACCATCAAAATAAAAAAGTCCGAAAGTTCATGACCAGGCATCAATCTTTAATGTAACTCCAAATTAGTTAGCATCATCTGAAAGTTTACTAACACAGTGTATCAGTACTGAGGCAGGGTAAAAAAAAAAAAATGACAGTGATTTTCTGTATTTTTGAAGTATGACCCGAAGGTCTCAAATAACTTTTCTTCTCACCTAGCTGTGTGCTGCTGTCCAGATTTGTGCCATTGCACAAATCGATTTCTTATTTAGTTGCAAGTTCAAGCATATGTAGCAATGTGACAGGTGTGTACTCCCACAGAGGCATTTTTAGTCATTATTGTTGAAAACTTTTTGCTTTGCCTTCTAATGGTTTTTACTGTTCTTTTAAGTTTACCAAGACTGTGAAATCACTGAAATGTGCACAGAAAAGCAATTGTGAAAGTGAAATGATTTGTAGTACATACAGTTCTAAAAAAGACACTGACTTTGTATCAGTTGGTCTACATGTCTCTTCAGGGTGGACTCTAGTCTTCATGATGCCTTCTCAAAAGGGCGGAAAACGAAACCTGCATTAAAAAAACACAAAAAACATACATTAGCTTGGGCTTATTGTCCTGTGTCCTTGGGCTACATTGCTGAAGTGCTTCATTTTTTCTTTTTTGTTGGGGCAGCAGCATAAAGTCAACTAATTTTTCAGAACTGCACCCTGCTTAAATTGTTGAGGTTTTTGCTTGATTTGGTATCTACTGGATAGTAGAACATAAAATGTGGCTATTAAAATTCCTTGCCTGGGTGGCAGATGAAATAAAAAACCTCAAAGAATCCAGACGACAGATGCTGTAACAATCTTAAGAAGTCAAGTTTTGGGTCTCAGTGACTTGGTCATGTCTTTCTAAACTGAGCAGATGTCACTGTACATCTGCTTTCACTTGCATAACATTTTGTTGTGCTCTAATGCATTGGAGGATTTCTTTTTGTCTCAATTTTACTTTACTTTCACTAGCAGTAACTTTCCTGGATATCAATTTCATATTCCTGGTTTCTTAAAACCTATTTTCATATATTTACATATGTGTACACACACAGACATATATATTGAAAATTACAGGCATGATACACATGAAGAACATCATTACCATTTTTCTGAGACACAATGGATTAGAGACAGTGATAATTATTTTATTATATATATCTTTATATATGTATAAAATCCATTATGTCTCAGAAAAATGGTGATTATGTTCTTCATGTATCATATTTGCAGTTTTCCTTATTTTCTTTGAGACTGTTTCACATTTTTTGTTCTTATTTAAAGAGACATGCAGGCTATTCTCAAAAGTGATTCTTCTGTACTGTAAATTATTAAATACTCTCTGATGCATTTTCTAGATCTTTGAGTACTTCACCATAAATCTTTATCCAACATAGTTAAAAAATTCCTTCTGGTAATTTATTTCATATTATGTATGAAATGCAGTAATTCTCTGGGTCCAGTCATGTTGATTACTTTGGTGGAAAGAAAAGATGAGATGTAATTGCCCATTGCTTAGAATGACCTCATGAGCACAGTGTGGATTTATAATAGCTTTTCAGAAGTCAATCAGCGCATCACATTTTTCTGTTTGAAATGCAGTCATTAGAGCTAAAGGTAATGTCAAGGTCACTGGATGTAAGAAACCACCAGCACTGAGAGTTTTTCTGTTGTATCAAATAAATTGTTCAGTCAAAATTTTGTTAAGAAAAAATTGACACCTATAGGTATATCAGCAAAGTTACCTGGTACATAAAATTATGTCCTTAACTGATTAACTCTATCCAAATATAGTACACTGCAGGTGATGGCTGAACAATACATATGCACATATGAATCAAGCATTATTTAGAAAGGAGTAGTTGAAGAGCACTTTACTTGGTGAAGTCTGGCACAATCCTAAAAGTTGTATGTTTATATACTGTTTGAGGGCATCCAACAACTCGGGAAATCTGAACTCATCTCATTCCTTGGTGACCACACTATCTTACATTTAAAAAAAAAGAAGAGTTGTGCCATTACATTTTTATAATTCTTTTTTTCCTCTACAGTGCATTCAAAGCCTGCCATCCTAAGATCAAAAGTTTTTATTTTGCTGCTGAACATCTAGATGATATGAACAGGTAAGGAAATCTAGCAAAGTTCAAGGAACCATTCCTTAAATGTGACACTTCTTGGAGCTAGTAATAACACGGTGATAATAAATTACGTGTTAATCTAGAAAGTTAACTTTAATAGCTGAGAAAGTAAGTGCAGAGTGTCATTGTTTCTGAGTGGCTGCATATGCTAAATATTCAATTAATGCAAAAATTACATTTTTTTTAAACAAAAGTTTGAAGATTTTTAGAAACATGTTTCTCTCTTTCTAAAAGAAATAAACACAGTATGTGAAAGAACATCCAAACACAATTTCAGAATTCCAGGTTTCTGCTTTTGGCTGTGTGGCACCTGTAAAGGTGCAACATGTCCAACTCTGCTTCATAACATACTCCCAAAGACATGTGATGCTTCCTCTGGCAATGCTTCTACTTCTGGCTCTGGAGGGAATGAGAAGTTGGAAAAAGATTTAAACCAGTCACTGATTTTTCTTCTACCAGTTTTGAAAAAGGAGGTAGAGATTACAAGGAATGAATTTTGCAGATTCTCTCTACTGCCATGAATTTAACCTGGATGTTGAAGTGACATTTTGATTGTGTTGAATTTAGTGGGGAGACTTTCAGCAACTCAAAAAGAACAAGGACTTCAGTCTTAGTTCTTTGAGTATTGAGTTTTACTGTATCTGTTTTAGGCCACTTGTGCGATTTTTTCAGAAAAATGAGACTTCAGCACAAAATAAACACAGTTCCTCTTAATTCATCTGAATGGTAAATTAAAAACATGGATCTCATGTCTCTCCAAATATTTGGGGGGTTATTTCATTTATTTTCACAATATAAACTGAAATTAATTCAGTTCAAAATAATACACCATTTTCATCATATGACAGAGAACACAAACAAAAATCTATCCTTGCAACCTGAGAACTGTTCTGTCTCAGATAATGTCTGTGGACGTCCTCGTTGAGCAAAATTGCTTTTAAAACTGAGGAAAAACATAAAATTGAATCCATAAAACTGTTAGTAAGTGCTATAATCGTCATTTAATCTTTTCTGTGTATACTAGATTCAACTAACAGGCAGAGCACCTTCAAGGTTACTGCCAGTTCTTTACTGATAATATTTGACTGGAAAAGTATGCAGATACTATACTCTGCTTGCGTTCATTTAGAAATAGCTGTCCGTTAACATTTTTTCAAAAGCTCATGCATGACTAAGGCTCACTTCAAAAATCTCTCCTCAGTTAGAAAACTTAAAACCATTTTTATTTGTTTGTAAAATTTTAGGCTTGCCTTTCCTTGATAATTCTGTCAAGCCAGTCACTCAAAATGCAATTTGCTACACAGCAAACAGAATAATAGCATGGTCTATTCGGCATATCCTGAAGTAAAGTAGATAAATCATTTCTGTCAGCAGGTCCTCAGTCAGTATGACAAGGCACCATGTTTCTAAGGATAAAAATTTATATAACTGTTCAGTAATTAGAAAGCAACAGCAAATATGCATCAATTCTTTAAACATATACTGCATAATTTAAAACCCAAGAGCTAAAAGATTTTTAGCTTTCCAGAACAAATAGGGTTTTTATTATATTTTGAAATGAGTGTTATTAATTCCTTTAGAATGAGCTTGACCAAATTTTGATCTGAGTTATACACATGTAAATTTAAAGCAAATCTGTCAAGGTCTATGGAATTACTTGAAATTCTTACATCTGAGTTGCCATCTGAGTCTCTCCAAATAATTTTATTTTTTTCTCTTTGTTTAATATATTAGAAAAAGTAATTCACCTTCACAAACACTGAATTAACTCAATATATTGGGAAAAAAATGAGTTACTGAAAAATTGTCTTTCAAATAAAATACTTCCTGTCTAAAAGTATTTTGTAGCTTAGCTGAAGTCAAAGACAGAATCAAGTTATTAAGGTAAATTAAGACTGTTTTGATCAATTTCTGTTCTTTTTTTTGTCAGGTTTATGACATACATTTTAATTATGCATCATGCAGTCATTTCAGTTCTGTTTATACTTGAAGCAGAAGAAACGAGAGTAGAAAACTGCTAAGACATAGTCAAACTGAAAGTTCAAAATGGTTCAACTCCTTCATCCCCTGTACGAAATGATTTTTTTATTTTTTTTTTAAAAAAAGGGTATGCAGGATATGAGATTTTTGTTTGTGTGTATCTACTCACATAAAAGAAGTATTTTAATCTTAGGTAACTCTGTCACTATTCAAATTTTCTTACTACTTTTATGACTGTGCCACACCATTATGCTGGTAAGGAGTCTGGAGAACTATGATCATTGAACTTTAGTGTTGTGTTGTCTGAAGTTCCTTTCATCTGCATGGTTGCACCAGCAAAAGTGTTCTTTCTACCCATATAACATGCTTAGTCTGGGTGAGAAGAGGGACAGAATATCCTTTATTGATGCAAAGTACTGTTTTGCTTGTGTAAGTGTGTAGTCATAGAAACATCTTGCTTGTAAATTAATTATTATTCCCATTCGAAGAAGGTGTTCCGATGTAGAAGGCAGTCCATGTATTTCTACTTGATGATACTATATGTAACTTTATTTTGATTTTCCATGGTAGCTGTGCCTGCTCCTTTATGGACTAGCTATTTGTTCTTTACTCAAAAATCCTGATCATCAGCCCAGAGGTAAATGTGTCCTTTTCTGAGTTGGCCAGCTTACAATGCTTACAATACTCTTACTCTTCCTTTTTATTCCAAATGGTCCATTTTTTAAGTGATGACATATATGGCTGGCAAAATTATATCTTCTAGGCAGGGAATCAGTAACTTCATGTGGAATATTTATCTGAGAACTTCCTTGACCAGTTGTAACTGAGCTGTCTTCTTTCTCTTTTTGTGACATTGCATGTTGACATTTATAAGAGTTTTCTTCCTTAGTGTAGCTCTGTGATCAAGGGGAAAGTTGACAAGTCAGCTTGTAGTATTAGCACATGAGAATGTCTCTGGAAGATCTCAGTGAAAAAGGCCTCTAAAAATTGTCCCGCATCATCTACAGGCTTCTTCATTCAGATTAAACTGCAGTTGGGTACTTACAGACAGTGTAAAGAATGCATATTCTCATGTAGCAAGCCTGTCCTATATCCTTGGGCTTTATGATTAAGGACAAATTGATGCCTTGCTTTGACTAAAGCATTACATCTACCTGGAGCGTGAGATAAGATAGAAGAATGTTTCCTACTATTCTACGAGTGCCAGTATTGTCCATCCACCTCACACACGCTTAACACTAAATGCTATCTCATATTTAGGACAGAATGAAGTTTTCCGACAGGAGAACCTTCATAGGTGTATCATCTAATACTTTGTGGTCAGCAAAGGGGTTCAGTAGGTGGCTGTTCCCTGCTGCCTGTGCTGTAGGGTGGTAAGCCATGAGCTGAATTGGGAATATGAAATCCAAAATAAGCAAGAGGCAAGCAAAGGGCCATCTCCACCATCTGCCATGCCATTTGACAGAGCAGGCACTTGTCCTCTTGTGCTGCTTTACCCTTTGGACACGGACAAGGCTGTGGCCTTTGCTGGTCCCTCGGCAGCACAGGGCCTGAGTGCTTTGGGTGAGGTTCCTGCCTCAGTGCCTCTGATTTGGGCTGGCAGAGCTGTCAAGACAGCTGAACTTTACTCCCCAAAGAAAGCCTTCACATATCAGGAACGTGAACCTAAAAGATAGCTTTGTCGTGGGTCATCTTTCTGCTGTGAAGATGTGAAATTATTGTCTGAGACACAGTTGGTTGGATTTCTGTTCCTATGTGCCGGTTATTTTTGTGAGTGTATGAGAATTCCTAGCTATTACCACTGAAATTTTAAGTCTCTTCTTCAGCTTCTCTCTTCTTCTGGCAGAAATTTTGATTGTATGCTAGCATGAAGTATTCTGTAATCACTTCAGGAGTAAATCCCTAGCTTTCTTCCCAATGTACAGTGATTTATGGACCATTAACATGATTTACAGATCATACTGGTGGTTGGCATTTGTGGAAGGACAGTGACAGGAGTTAATTTCAAGGAGAGCAACTGTATTTTATTATCTGATGCCAGCTTACCCTGCACTGAAATGTCTGACGGCTGGCATGCAGGAGTGATTACAAAGGTGTATCCCTTCCTGAAACAATAATAAGTCCTGTTTCCATGCATACAATATGCAAATGAAACCCATCAGGCACAGTTTTCTGAAACAAGGGTTTCACATTCCTGAAGAGAAAGCAAACCTGACTTCAGTTGTCCTTCTGTATACTTGGCAGTAAAATTGCAAGCCAGTACGCTGGCAAACCAGGCCTGTCAAATCCTGACTATGGAGTGACTGGAGTAAGTAATTCTGGGTTTACCGTGGAATGGACAACCACGGGAGATTGTCATGGTGGTTTAAAGCCTCACTGATGGAGGACCTGATTTAGTGTAAGCATTTGGATAATGAATACACGGAGAGCCGCGTGGGGGAAGAGAGCAGGTTGAAGCAACGCACTGCTACAGGCAGTTGAGCGTATGCTTGGCAATGACAGCCCTGCTAGAATAGCAATAGTTCAGTTTGCTTTTTTTTTTTTCATTTGTGCAGCTTGTGGAAGCATTTTTTCAAGTTTAAGTTGAGGTTAAAGCCTTAGATGTGATTTGCATTGAGGCAACTGTCTTTCCTCCCCCTGCTTCTTGGCACAAACACAAAAGTGAATTCTGATATGCCCCCTTCTCTTTGTACTTGGCACTGTAGGTAAGCTCTGAAACACCTAATGGCGTAATTAAACCTCACTGTCTGTTTGGGAGTGAACCTGTTCTTTTTATTGCTGGTTTCTGCCCTGTTCCTCTGCTAAGTTGCCAATTCAGGCCTTAAAATACTGCTTAAATCTCTGAAAAGTGGTGTTTCTTCTTAAGAAATCAGAACAGCAGGAGTATTGGTGTGATGGCATATCTGTGAGCAGCAGATTTAGTGGCTCTTTGATTATCTCCAAATCCTTTATTTTACAGATATTTGACATCATACACGGTTTTCTATTTGAAATAAAATCTTTGCTGTGAAAACAATTTATTCAACAGCAAAATCATAGATGTTTGGAGACTTCCTGAGTAAGAGTATCAAAGAAAACAGCTGTCTAATATGAAAAATAACATTGTCCTGAATCTCCTTCAGATGCTCCTAACTTCGCTTTTTTTGTAGAAATGCACCCCAAAATTAAGGGGCTTGGATCGGTATCACTTCTTTTTTTAATATTATTTCAGATGGCTAAACAGAATTAACATGCTTGCTGCTGGCTATGCAGAAAGAGAGAGGATCAAACAAGAGCAAGGTAATGTGTTGTAATTTGGTTTCTTCTGTCAGCTCGTATCACAAGTTCATCTGGTCTTTTCTCCCTGCTGTGTATCAGGCCTCATTGTCATCGTCTGAATGCAATTCACATATGGGTATCGCTGTTGTTGCTTTAGAGAATTCCTTCTCCCTCAGGGGTTTTGATTAGCTCCTTCAGATTCTGGTCCACAGACACTGGATTATTTCTGAGAAGGCCGCAGAAGGTAGCTAAAAGCAGCAAATGTACTGCCAGTGAGCTCCAGTATGTGGTACCAAGGACTCTGTGTCCCCTGTCAGAAGAAACTTAAGAATCTGCAAACTAACAAAAATTTTTAAACATTGCATTTGGTGTCTGAATTCACAGGGGGCAGGGATGCATGAAATTGATCTGAGGAACAAAGCTATTCTTCTAAAGCCTGTTGACATAATTGGATTTCTCATAAAGACTATAATTTTAAGACCATTTAATTTTTTTTGTCATTTCTACTGGTTTTGTTATATTGAGGTGTGTGCTAAAGCCCTCTTGGCATTTCATTTGGAGTTGCAGGATTGCAGCATTTTACATCTGTTTATTTTTAATGTTTAATATTTCATGGGTTTAAAAAAGCGTCATATAAAATAATGAGTCACTTTGCTTTAGTTTGCTGCGGTAGAAATCCTGTTTGCAGACAGGAAAGAGTCAATCCTCAACTGCGTTGGAGAGGTCATTTGCTAGAATTGTCAGTGACATGGACCCACAGAAACGTTCCTGTCCAACTAGCTGTTTTGGCAAGCAGCTGGCTTTTGGATCCGTGTTCTTTTTCACAGATGTACCTGGCAGCAAGCACCACAAAATTGCAGTGGCCATGATGATCCAGAGCTTATCCAGATGCCTGTCTGCCTGCTGCCCACTGAGTCAAAACCTCACTTTTTAATTCTGTGGCTTTGCAGCCTTTATCAGTAAGGTTCTGTCTTTTGGCCCATAGACCTTATAGCTTGGAGCTACAGCAGCAATGTATTTAATCTAGTCTTTTCTTTACAAATACTGTATTTCTAACCAATTTTCAGGGAGAGGTGTGCTCAAAAGGCTATCATTAGGCTTCAAAATTTGCCACATGGTGTCCTCCTTGCCCCCAAAGTCATGGTTCTGTACCAACCTATGTGACAGCAGCCGTAGCCCTCACCTTCTGGTCTGATACCAAGAGGAGGAAGATGCACATGATCTGTCTCTCTGCCATGTGTTGCTGCAGTGCCGTTTTCCTGGGAGACACTGTGCCAAAACTCCTTTCCCCAGTGAGACTCGGGTTGACTTGGGCAGCCAGGTAGAAACATCAAGAGAGTAGGATGTTCTGTAGTGGTAGAAGATTAAAAGACAGCATCAGAAAATTATGTCTGCCTTGATTCATACCCTGATTGCACAGAGCAATAACCTCACCACAGAGCATCCTAGAGGGATCAGCCTGGGGTTGAAGAGCAGTGGATTACAGCATACTGCTGTAATTCGGTGGCAGCAGCGTGCATGGGAAGGTTTTTGGGCATTCTGTCATTCTCACTCATAACCAGGTTGTACCTTCTGTTGCCTCATTTCTAATCATGTTTTCCAGTAAGTGCAGCTGCTTATCCTGGGAGTGTTGCCCACACCCTATTTTAATCTGGTATGGTCCTTGGTATATCAAGTCATTCGTAACACCAGGCCCTCTACATTCACACAGCTCAGGATAGCAGCACTGTGCTCACTGTTTCTCCAGTCATATTCTCAGTGCCTCACCAGACTTCAAAATCAGTTTAGGAATCTGTACTCCCCAGGCAGCACTACAACAACCAGTTTGGAGGGACTTGTATACCACCTGTCACTGCGTGAAGAGGCTGTGAACAAACTGAATCTTGGAGTCTTCTAGGAAATCCTCAGTGTTAGCATTCAAAGTCAAATTCAAACTTTTATTCACAACAGGTTGGCACTAGAATTGCAATAACATGTGGGACAGTAAGGGAAAAGGTGTATGAACAGTTATGCTAACACTGTCCAAGTGCACAATTGCAGACATGATACACCTTTCGAAATCCAGACGGACATGGAGAAATATTTTTGCTACTAAGCAATCACTGAGTAATAAAATAGTAGACGATCCAGCTCCTAGACATGAGATCATGTGCATTTAGGCCTTACGTTTCCTATTATTAAAATGTCTCCCTGTTGAATATAATCAGTGAGACCCCACTTAGTATGGAAATTATATCCCAGGCACTGACAGAGCCCTTTATTGCCACTCTAAGGCCATTCACTCAAATTGATTTATCATATACAGGTAGGTAAAACTATATCCTCTTTGTGTTGCTTAGTTGTGTTTAGTGTGGGAATCAGTATCACATTCCCCTCTCGGTGCTGTACCGTGTTTTTACGCCTCTGGTCATTATCCTTGGCTCCCAGCACAAGGGCTATTAAACAGCTCAGTAGTGTCCCTAATTAGCAGACGCATCAAGTTAGCAAAGTAAAACCTCTCTATCACTTCAAGCATTTTTACAATTATGAGAACTGTGAAGCTGGAATTTTCTATATTCAGTGACTGTACCATCTACATACTTGGTTTTACAAAAGGCCTTTTATTTCTGTTCAGTTCAGCCCTTTGCAGCAAAGCTTTATAAAACCTCTGAAACAATTCAACAGTAGTTGTCAAACCTGTTTCAATTAAGAGTTGAATGGTTCTGAATCTAAAGTGCATAAATATATTTCAAGTGCTTCAGAAATGCACGAATCACCGAATTGTGGGTGTACTGCTGAATAAAACGTCACATTCTGTACAGAACAGTCTTATAAAAATACCATCAACTTTCAATCTTAAATACAATGAATGTTAGCAATATGGCAAGGGACTTCCTTGGATGGAGAAGTTATTTATTTTCCAGTCATATAAAATCAGAGAAAAAAATACTTGCTTATATACATAGAAAATATTTAATTGGCATATGGCAGATCAGTGTTAGTTTCTATATAATATATACAGTCTATTGCTCATTCAGGAAGCTTTCAAGATATGCCTGATGCATTGAGCTTGTCTGTCACTGAATTGGACAAAATCTGCAGAGAGAAATGCGGCAACTGTTCAATTGCATTACACACTTTTTACATAGACTCTAATTAGAGTCAGTAGCCAAAAGCAGAACATTTTTTAAAAATTGATGGGAGGCTATTTTCATCTGGAAATTGACCCCTGTGACTGCAGAATCTTTCTAGACAAGCCACAGGTTGCCAATAGAATTCCCTGTCTGAGGTAAGGTGCGCAGAAGCGTGATCATACAGTGTTTTATTCTATGTGGATTTGACAGCAAGAACAACTTTGTGTTTTTAGCCAAGATGGAACTTACACTGAGGCTGCTAAATTTTACCTTCAGAATAAACAGTTGAGCTCCAAGTCTGCGGGAATCTCACTGAGTGATGCAGTTCTGACAGGCCGCTCACCACACGTCGCACCATTAGGCTTTGCTGTAATAGGAACAAGCATGCTTATATGCCAATATTTTCAGGTGTTTTGAGTTGCTGGAAACAAGTTTTCTTAAAACTAGGAGTGACTTAAAAATAGTTTTTTGCTGATGTAGTCTTTTGTTCACCAAAAATTCATTATTTGCAGATTTCTAGAGGCAAAATTTTTGGGACTTTTTTATTTCATAATCACGAAAACTTTATTTATGCTGTTTATTATATCATTTGAAGAGAATGTCTCGTCTATAAGCTGGCAGGAAGCAAATCAAGAGACCCAGAGTTAAAACAGAGTTGTTACTGATTGGAAAACATAAATAAGGCTGTCTCACCATTACTACAATCTAAAAATATACAGCATTTTAGGGACAGCTATTTCAAGATGGTGTCATTTTAAGGTAAGTTTTTGGTTTAAATCTGGAACAAGATTAGATACAGTAGGTCATTAATCATACAATACAATAATAATCATGGTAACAAAAAATGGTTAAAGCCAAAATTACATGTTGTGCCAACTTGGATTTTTGGTTTAGATTGTTTATGAAGCAACGATCAATCTTTTTCTCTTCATCTATTAAAGAGAAAGTAGTAAGTCATGCAATTCATTGAACACTTACTAGGTGAAGTGAAAATTGCCAGTGATTAGTCTGTTAATAGTCTGAGCTGAAGTGTCCTGTTGTACAATCATTTACCCAAATGCTAGAAGGTAGTAGAGTTAGAAACACTGACAACATTAATGTTTTCATAAGTCTTACAATGTGTAGAAACGTTAAAGAAGTTATCCATCTCCAGCTGAGTCAGCAGTTAAATAATTTTCTTTTGTAAGGAGTATTAAGGTCCTGTGTCCCTTTAATTAGACGCTGTTCTGCTTCAAAAATATTTGCAACAGTATAAATATAAATTCCTATGTGGTACATTCTTCCATGTGTTTTCCCCTTTGACCAAGCTACCAAACATACGAAATGTGCTTGGCCAAGACTTGATTTCCTGACAAAATGAAATCTCATATCCCATTAAATTTAGCCCACAAGCTCTGTGTCCTTTTTATTTTCTCATCTATCTTTTGGAACTGTGCTTAAATATCATTGTCATATTTTTCCTTACCATATCACCTTTATGCTCTTGCATGGATAACAGGGCAGCAGCTGTTTTATGAAGCAGATATATGGTATAAAGTTTTTCTGCCTTACTTAAATGCCACTGTTTATTAGAAATCGACTCGAAAAGCTTGGATAACTGGTAGTATTCAACGTAGAAATGGATAGAGACATTGATCAGTCATGTGTGCAATGACCACTACTTGTTTGATTTGCCAGTTGGTGTTAATTACATTTGTTAATGTTATTTGCAGTCAACAAGACCTTTACAAGTTACATTTTTCATCTTTTCAATTAAAAAAATACTTTCAATATTTTCCAGTTAGTATATTGTCCAATCATAACTCTTTTGATGGCTGTATAAATATTTGAAAATCTGATAGTTGTATTAGGAGTATTCCGTATGCATGTTGTATTTATAAGATGTGTACAAGAGTTAAATTTGTGGCTCTTTTGCAGTTTGTTGTCTAATATCTCTGCAACAGGGCATTAGACTTAGTATACCCAACATGTTTTGAATTTTCCCTTTTTAGGTTAAAGCAATTCCAAATTACAGCAGCTAATGGTTGCAGAGTCAGCATTGACTGATGTTTAACTCTCTGTAATACTAAGAACGGAGTTTCCAGTTGCTTTTGTGAAAGTGGGTCTCTGAGTATCAAAATGTGTTGGTAGTTTTTCATCTGATCTGTATGTAACTTGTAGATTACTGGAGTGAGAGTGATAAGGAGGAAGCTGACACTCCATCGACACCCAAACAAGACAGCCCACCACCCCCATACGACACATACCCACGGCCTCCTTCGGTAAGTCACCTGCAACTGTCTACAGGAATGACTACATGAAGTGTCACTTTTATCTGCAGTCCTGCTTAAAAGCATGTGCATGTGCACATTAGGACTCTCTCCAGTATATTTTTTGAGTCAGTACTTGACTTAAGACATTTGTTGAGTAACATGCGTTGCTAACTTCAACAGCCATCATTGCTATTTCCACTGATGCATAGAGAACAGGGATTTATGATCCCAACTGCTGTACAAAATGGATTAAGGTACAGAATTCTATCTTCCTCTTCTTCGTTCATGATGAACTCCTACTTATCCATGCAATCCCTCACCATCCCCGTATCGTCTTCTCTGAAAAAATGTTGTTACCTCAGTAACAGCACAGACTCTTCTCTAAAGCACAACAGTTGTGCTGTGAAGCTTAACAGTAACAAATTACACTTGAATTTCCACAGAAATGCCAACATAAAAAATGTTCTCTCTCATATCCCAAACAGTGATACCAGTTGTTCTGTTGTTGTGAAAAAGTAGATTTCTCTATAAATCAGAACAAACGGGGATTTGTTTATTTTCTTCTTGAAGCAGCTGTTAGTATAAAACCAGAGTATGGACTTCTAACTTATTCTGCACTGACAATTTTAATTTTCATGTCAACATACTCAGACAATGTTAACTAATATATCTTAACTTGAACATGCTTTTTAAAATGAAAAATTTGCGTTGAAAAATCGGGAAAGTCTAGGGGAAGAGAGTGTTCATGATGTTGAATTTGAATGCAATACTTTATCTTCCAAAATCATAGATCATTGAACTGCACTGAAGCACTGCAAAGATTATGGCAAAGACATTTTTTAGTAAGATAGGATGACAACAGGCATTTGAATGTCCTCTTTAAGATTTTTAGTGGACCAGGCACATCTCTTCTATATCTTCCATAGTGCCGTATTCTGCAAAGTTTTCTGCAAATAATTGTATTGGTTTATTTTATAGACAAAGGGACATAATAAGGATGTTTATTATGACTGTTTATCAGTATTTAGCCCACAGGTGTGACACCTGTAGATGTGTGAATGCCTTAAAGTTAGGATCAGGACAGGTTAATCAAGTAAATTTGTGCCTTCGTTACTAAACTGGGTGCCATCAGTGACAATGAAAAGTACGTGGTTATTACTAGCAGTAGGTCTCAGTCTATGTTGATGTGAACATTGCTCCTTTCCTGACACTAGATGAGCTGCGCAAGCCCTTATGTGGAGCCAAAACACAGCCGACTCTCATCCACGGAGACCTCCCAGTCGCAGTCGTCACACGAGGAGTTTCGCCCGGAAGCGGTGGGGAGCTCCACCGACTCGCCGGTGCGCAAGACGGCGAGCCAGCGGCGCTCCTGGCAGGACCTCATAGAGACGCCGCTGACAAGCTCAGGACTCCACTACCTGCAGACGCTGCCACTGGAGGACTCTGTGTTCTCCGAGACGGCCGTGGTCTCCCCCGAGCACCGGCGGCAGTCTACCTTGCCCACCCAGAAGTGCCACCTGCAAGACCACTATGGCCCCTTCCCTCTCGTGGAGGGTGAGCGGATGCAAGTGCTGAATGGGAATGGGGGAAAGCCCCGAAGTTTCACTCTGCCTCGGGATAGCGGCTTCAACCACTGCTGCCAGAGCCTTTCAGTCGGTGCCGCCGATCACCACGAAGAAGTGCAGCAGAAGGAGGTGGAGGAGGAGGAGGAAGAGGAAGGCAAAGCAGCAGAAGAAAACCAGGAAGATAAAAGTAAGTATGGGATATTTCTGTGGCTTTTCAAGAGTCCTGTCTGTGTGACATAGAAGTTGTTTTTCCTTTTTCCTATCAAAAAACCCCAACAGTCTTTCAACATCCCCCATGTTTTACCAGGTCCCCCTTGTCAAACACCTCTTTGATCTGCCTTATGTGTAAGTGTTAATAATGAGAGTGCTGCATGACCTCTCATAATCACCACACACTTCCCCAGAGGCTGGTCATGATTCACCTCCTATATTTAGTTCTAATTTAGTTGTAATTCTTAGTTATGAATGGGTTTTGTTTCCATGCTTTCTTCACACTTCCACTTGCACAATATCCTACCCCACTAACATATGTATGTCTCAGGACATACTTAGATTTCCAGCCAACCCCACCTGGGTTTTAAAAAATACTTGGTAAATCCTGGAGTGCAGGGTCAGGCTGTGGTTGTGTAGTATCCAGGTGGGCAGATCACGAGACAGCCCAAAAGCTGTAAGAAGTTGAAAAAGAGAGTGCCTTTTCCCCAGTTCCTCACCTCATGATTTAGAGAGAGAAGTTCAAAAAACATTTCAGACAAACAAAAAAATTAATAGAGAACAACTATTTGACCAGCGGGGCTTGAAAAAAAAATCGTAACGCTGAGTAACCATCTCTTACATGGCACATTAACTCCATAGATATTAGTGCTACTTGTCAAAATTAATCCAAATAAACAGGGATTGGAGAAGATCCCTGCTCTTCCTGAACGTGTAAACACATTTCTGTGTCTGTTTCATGCTCTGTCCTTCACTGTCATTTATGGAGCTTCTCAGCATGTGTTGCTAGCAAAGCTGAGTTCACACCCAAGTTGTAGGGTCAGTCAACGAAGCCTGCATCCATAAACTGTGGGGTTATGCTGCCATTAAGTTACTGGTAGTGGCAAGGAAGGCAGAGTGACCCTTGAAGCTCTCGAAGGGTCTGTGCTATCCAATTCCTTCGAATTCAGTTTTTTCACTGCAGGAAAGGAGCATAAAAATGGTAAAGAGATAGGAAAAGGTAATGAAAGCTTTGGATAATTTACTTCCTATCTAAGTTAATTAATTACCGCCTTTGTTGATCATTAAAATTCATGTGGACGTTATTTAGTCTACTTGGGAGACATCAACAGTTTTCCATTGCCTTGATGCTTTAGTCAGTAGGTTCTAGACATCTCAAATTCCTACCTTTGAGAAAACTGATTTCTTTTGCAGATATTACATTTAATGCCATTAAAAGTTAAAAAAGGCACGATTTCAGTTGCATTCATGCATGACACTTTCCAAAAACCCATACATTTATTAGGGTAATATTAGACTCTTACTGACTGTGAAATGAAGCTATCTAATTAACAGGGTTAAATTTCATCAACGACACAGAATGTTTTATCCTATTTTTAGCCTTCAATTTTGGTTTTCAAATGGATTTTTACTGATAGCAATAAAAAAAATATTTTTAAAAAAAATTCCTCACAGTCAACAAAAAAGGGTCAAGGAGACTTCGCACTGGAGTTCCTATGCTGTTTGAGCATTACTCAGAGATGCTGTTGCAGGACCTAAGTTGTTAGGTGGCTTAAATCTCAATTTTAAGGCCTTTGGGTTCCTGGCTGGAACGTTTTATAGCCTACAATACTAATAAAGGGTTAGTGCTTGCTTTAATGGGCCAGAACTTGGGCTCTTCTCCATCTTTCTGTACCAATATCCAAAAAGGGAAAAAAAAAAAAAATTTTGGATGTGGTCTCCCTGTATAGACATACTCTTATTTTAGTTTGGGTGAGGTTTTCTTGGTTGAAGCTTTAACAGGAGATTGGTTTTGAGACATTAATCATGAGCTAGACAAGTAAAGTGCTCATGGTGAATTATTGACCATGAAATTATAAAACCAGAAAGAAAATACTGTTTAGTCTGTTGAAGAGTTTAAGTGTTGAATTGCTTGTTGCTATGGCTGCAATGTTCTGTTTGCAATGCTGGCTTTTTTCAGTGTCCTTACCAGTAAAAGGCGGGAGGGATTTCATGCAAGTGGTGTTCTTAAGTGCAAAATCCCAGTTTCTGAGCTGAGAGATTTGCTTATAACTGTGAAGTCCGCTAACAGGATGGGTGCCCTTGTGTGTGCTACATCATTGCCCCCTCACCTTCATTGCTCTGGGGAAACAAAAAAAGGGAATCCTCTCCCTTTTAGAAATGTTTTAACCTCACCTTGAACCTTCTCTGACATGGTATCAGATGAACCTTTTAAATGTATTTATTTGCCTTACACATTTGTGGTCCTGACATAGTTCTGAGCTCTTCAGTGATTATATGTGTTCTTGTGTGTACATGTGTGTGTTTTAAAGCTTAATCATTCCGATTGCTTTTTTGTGCGGGACGAGGAGTGCAGCTCTTTTGCAGTTGTTGCTGTACAAGTCAAATGTCATTGCAAAAAGTTTGTTTTCTCAGCTTTTTGTTTTTACATTCCCACTTCTAAAACCTCCTGAGTTTAAATCAAATAGTAAAATGCATTCCTGTTTCTTCCAACTGTTTTGTAGAATTGTTTTCAAATAACCACACCACAAATTAGGAGCTCCATGCTTTTTTCAGATGCTGTCTCAGCTGCTACAATTTAACATAGTTCTGTTGACTTTCTACTAAAGCACCACTGATTTGCAACAACTAAGAATCTTTTCTCTGTTGATCACTGCTTTATGCCTTAAATAGATATAGCAAGATTTTATTAACACCGCAAATAGTTTTGTGTATCAGCTCTGCTGTAATGCCTAGATATATCATGGATATCATGGTAAACTGAAAATATGGGTTGTCCTTTCCTGTGTTTATCTGTTAGGATCTAACTTTGTTGTGTGTTCAGTTGCTTCTTTTTGTCTTGTTCTATCACATTAACGCTGCAGTGCTAATCTTTAATGGATTGTTTTATTTCCCTAATTAAAACGACTTTTGTCTAAATCATTTAGATGTTCCATATTGACACCGTCCTGTAATAGTCTCTTGCTTTGTAATTGAAGAGGATTCTCTTGTGGGATATTTGTGTTTGTCCGTGTGTTTGCTCCTGAGGCTACGAAAATGGCAAACAACATTCAGACCTGTGGCACCAAACATCACTCTTGCTGTGTTGTTCAGAGGCAGCCTGCTCACGGAGAATAGGTCCATGGCTATTGCACAGGGTGTTGTGTTTCTGTGTCTCAGTTGTGAAGGACAAGTTGGGCTTTTTCAGGTCTGTCTTCTGACAAGGCAGGTAATAGGAGGAGACAGCTGTGCAGCATGGCACTGTCACCTCCTTCCCCTCCAGCCTCAGGGCTGTCTGTGCTCTGTGTTTTGACAGATTTCACCACTTAATGCCAAAGAACACTTCTAGGATCTTCTTGGGAGACTGTTTGTCCCAGGACAGTTTACTTCACTTTTTGCCTTATTTTTTGCAAGTGTTTTTGATGGTAATTCCTTCATTTTCAAAGACGACTTTGGTTTGCGAGAAAGTAATAGGAATGACTTAAGGGTTCACCATTCAAGAGAAGCAGATAACAGCTCTCTACAGAGCGTAACTGGCTGTAGATCCTGATGACTTAGACACGGAAAAACCTACACCTTTTATCCATACTCCCTGAAAAAGTCTTTGGAGAGCAGTGGCATCCACGGAGTCTCTGGTGCTGTCACCTGCCCAGGCAGTGCGGGGACAGGAGCTCTGCTGCTGGCTCCATGTCCTGCAGGGCTGGCCAGAGCAGTGTTGGCGCACTTTTCAGGGAACTCCACACCTGGGACCTCCAACAGCATGCAAGGGAGCTTTCCACTGTGCAGACTCCATAAGATTTCTTCAAGAATATGGATGGAAAAGCATTGAAATCTATGTTTGAGTTTGAAATGGTATTTGGAGCAGGAAGAAACTGTCTTCCCACTGTTCAACCCCATTCCCTTCTGCTTCCTTCCTCACCTCTTCATTCTCTTGCTTTTGCAAGTTTTCTGTCCTTTTCTGGCACTCTAAGTACTGTAATTCCTACTGACATGTGCTTTAGGATTTTTTTGTTCCTACCCCATCATCATAATTTTAAAGCATCTTCTATATAGGGTGAACAACTGTAACAAACTCTGAAATATATTTCAATAAATCAATGGCTGTCCTTTGGGGGCAACTGAAGGGTGGGAGCCATTTCTTTGCTGCATTGATTTTCCTCCCCAGAGTGTTTACAAGATTCAACAAGCTTCCATGTGTGATTTGTGTCACCTTGAAAAGATTTTGCAACGTTTCTTAAGCCTGGGCACACTCACACGTATTTCCTGGCATTTTGCTCCATCACCGTAAGCCCTTGTTGAGGTTTGCAACATCTCCCAGCATCCCATGCTTAGTCCCACACAGTCTAGTGAGCACTGTCCCAGAGGAACACAGTAGCCTCATGCTCCAGTCTCTGAAGCTTGTCTTTTTACCTTAAGCCACTGAAGACACTTGCCAAAGGCCAGCTGGTGCTGGCATTTTGCAGCTCAGAGAGACGTCCAGATCGTGCAAAGGATTTCAGGAAAGCTGCCCTTGATGTCAGTGAGAGCTAGTCACTGAAAGAGATGTCAAATTGTCTGCTTGTGCTGAGCTACCAAGCCTGTGACTTTTTTCTTTTTTTCCCAGTAAAAAAATTAGGAACCAGCAAGAGAATAATAAGAGAAATGGAGAGCGGTTTCTCCCACTCCACCTACCAGTCATAGAAATGAAACTCAAGGCAGCAGTGATTTTACAAAATAGGACAGACGGGTTTAAGGAATCCCATGACTAGCAAGAAGTAGAGAGTTTCACACACTGTGCCCAAGAAGGTCTAACCGTGAGACATCCTAGGCAGCATTTGACTTCAAGAAGGAGTTTGCACTAGTGAAAAATATATTGTGAATAAGGTCAGGTACTTCAAATTCTGAAATACAGGTACAGGGAGGCTTGCCTTTTCAATGAGAGGACTGTACTGTGCAGTGCAAATGGTATCTCTCAGAAAGATCAACGTTTGCTAATTAAACACTACAATTACAAAGTGG